ATTTACCACTTATTATATGATGTTATCTTGTCAGGAGTTGTGTATAGATCAAAAACAACATTCATGCCATACTGAAAATAATCTCTAAATAATACATAAGAAACAACAGCAGTATAAATGTTTTCTTTAGGTATATCAGTGCTTACTGAGTACCTGTCATCAATTGTTCTAGTGAGATACAGTTAGAAAAATAAATATAGATGTATTCATCGGTTCAAACATCAGGAGTTTCCTGGGTGAAATTTGAAATGGGCTCCCTTACAGGAGCAGCAAGGAGAGACATAAAAAGGAAACCACTCCAGACTGGTAGGTAGTAAGTTTAATAAGCAAGGGAACTTCCATATGAAGCTTATCTTGGACAACCACAAGACAAGTAGATTTCTGTACATGCCCACCAGAATCTTAAACGTTTACATCGAGGTTTTAACTGGGTTCAGTCCTCTAAGCCATCCAGATGTTCTCAACAATACCTTACTGTCACGGCCGTGCCTTTGAAAACAGCTCTCACTGTGGGAACGGTGGGGAGAATATATATTCCAAGGACAGGAGGTGAGGGCCTCTGATTGCCCAGGGTCCAACGAATGGTCAACCACCGGTCACGTCCTCTCAATGACCTCCTCCAAAAGTGAGTATCAAGATGGGATAAAATATGTGAATGCATAAAATGCTTTATAACTGTTTCCTTGGTTAAGACATTCTGATGAATAATTATAGATTTGCTGCTGCAAATTTATCTGAGAAAAATGACTTGGGATGTTTTTATTTGGTCCATGTTTTTGTTTGCAACAAATCTCTTATTAGTAAAATAATTAATTTTATTTGTATTACTTAAGCTATAAATTAATAGCTAATTTAACCTTATTTAAAAGGCTACCCTTCACTGAAATACCACAGGATTTTAAATGCATAATTTTCTGTATTTTTATGTTTTACTCACAGAATTTTCTTAAATTTTTTTCATTGTACTATTTAAAATGAAGTGGCATGATCGTGAGAAGATCATAAGTAAATTTACATATCATTGAATAAGTCTTTCACCATCAAATTCAAAATAAAAACATTTTAAATGTAAAAAGTAAAAATTCTTTTATTTAAAATGTTTTCAACTTCTAATATGAGAGACACCCTGATTTAAAAAACCATCAGATGATATCATTTCTTTCTCAAGCTCACATATTTAGTTTTACTCAATAAAGTAATATTTATGACATTCAGAAATTGTCTACTCTGTTGATTTGTGCCTACCAAACCTCAATATAAAATGAGTTGGATGACATCCCCTTGTTATAATTACTTTTGTGATATTTATTGACATTTATTACTTGGGGAAACAGAATTGTCTCTTGTGACATATTATATAAATGTGATAGAAAGCATTAGATTTATGCATGAGATCTGATTGTTCTTATCATCTCTTAGAGAAACCATCATTATATCAGAATGTCCTGAGGTGCATGATCATTTTTACTATATTAATACATGATTTTTCCCTTTTCACTGAGAAATTGAAGTTAAAGATAAGCGGAAGTAAAATTTTTTGTTGATGTGTTTAATCATCTATAAGAAAAAGGGTTTGGACAGTAGTGAGAATTTCTTGGCTTAATTGTACTTATTTGTAAAAACATACTAAATAAAAAGGTAATTATTATTTAATTATTTCAGAAATAACTTTGTTATACATACAAATTACTCTCAGCTTTAATTTATTGAACTGTGTATCATTATTCTGAATACAACTCACAAATAAAATCAGACAATTAACATGTTGACACATCATTTTAAAGTGTTCTCCAGAGAACACTACTTAAAATAGTCACTGTCATTGCACACACACATTATAAAGCACTATAGTGATAAGGATTTTAACAAACACTTGATTAGCCTCCAGAGTGCATCATAGCTTCAGTATGTTGAAATACAACATGAGTCTCCAAGGGGAATATACTGTCTAGTGAATCCCCTATACAGAGTTTTATGAATGTTCTTGAGAATAGACCAGAACATCTTTTTTTGTGGAGCAGTTGAATAATCAGAGTTCCAAGAAACATATTTTGGGAGACACATGATACAATGGTTATTCAAGCCTGACCAGGAAAAACAAAAAATCCATTCATCACAAACACCAATTATTGTGGAATCAACAAAACTGAACTATATTGTTACAAAATAACTCCCTCCCTTCCCCAACCCTCCACAGAAATTGTTTTTGGTGTAATCTGGTTTTGCAGAGTCAGGCTTGACTTAAATATTCAACATGGCTTAATACGTTGGTTTTTCAAAGGGTGGGAAAGTCCTTCTAAGTCCATGCTAAGTGAATTTCCTTTTTCATATTTGAAAAATTGTTATGATATCCACCAATGTGTGAGGAATTTAGATTGGCATTGCCAAATTTAGGGCATTGTGAAGGATTTGAGAATCACACTTTTCTTTTTATTATCTATTGATGAACGGATATAAAAGTGGCACCTTCGATTGTCAAGCACCCAGGAGTCTACTTTTAATTACCAAAGAGCAACAAATTTAGTGCAAAAAATGTCAGAAGCTAAAGGTAGCAATTCACTCACCCATGTAAGATACGATTCATATTGGATACCAACACCCACTTTATTTTTGTCTATATCTTTGGAAAGAGTGAACTGATGAATTTTTAAAATCCAACTATTTGTTTTCTTTCTTGCTATCCATCTATCTTAAAAATGGTTTGCAAACCAAGCTAACCTTGCATATTGCTTAATTTTGTGATATATACTATAACATTGTTCATGATAAAGATCTTTATAAGTACACCTTGAATTTTAAATAAGATGCATAATCTAATTCAATGGTATTATAATACATTCATACTTAAATATTTTTATACTCTGTTCTTTTAAAAACCATAGTTTTATAAATTTTACTATGTATAATAAATTTAATAATTTTCAGAACTTACTGAACTCCAAAAAAATACATTTTAAACTATATTCAGCAATCTAGCCAATCATACTATATTACATCAGTATTAGCAAGGAATATAATGCTCCATGAGCTGAATTTTTGAAATATTTATGTATATAAACAAAATGTTTAACTAAAATAATCTCTATTGAAAATTTTCACAGATACATATTTTTCAGCTCTCTTAAATAGAGATACTGAACATCTAACAGCATCATCGGAATTCCTATATCTCAAAGGTGTTTAAATTATGGACCTAGTTCTCTTTGTTTGTATGGACAATTGCCCCAAACACAGAACTCTAATGCATTCCTTCCCTGCCTGAGGATGGTCTCAGTGCAGATTGGATGTTCTCAGGCCTTCTGATCTGCTCCACATTTCCCTCCAACCTTCTGGAAGTTAATCAGAGGTGAGCCCTGGGCCTCTCCTCCAGAAAATGTTCATACATTTTGTGCTTTCTCTAAGGAGAGGTTCTCACCTCCAGATTGATGGCTGTGTTCAAGGTAGAAGAAGGCAAACAGAAACTCTGACCTTCCAAAAAGTGAACTGCTCATACATCAAATCACTTCGAATAATAAGAGATCGTTTTCACTTCTGTTCACTTGCCCTAAGTCCACTATATTTGCAAAACTTCCTGTGAAAGATTGCCAGGAAGATCAGGGTCACGTTTCACTAACACACAGCATCTCTTCATGTATTTATTTACTCTCTATCTGGTTCCATAAAGGTTTTATTGCAGCTAAGAAAGTCTTGATGGTTAGCATACCTACATTTTTCTTTTATTCTCTTTCTCTATCAATAAACTTTGGGTATGTACTTTCAAAGAAAGTCAGGCCGGAAACAGTTTGCAAATCACAGGCTCAGCCTAGGGCTTTCTCATACATTATAGTTTTTAATCCTTACGACGACCTTCACATTAAGTATTACTATTCCCTGGCTCACAAGTATGTTAACTGAGACTCAGAAAGCTTAAATGAAACTCCACAGTCGCACGTTTAGAAGCTGTGAGGTGAGAATTCTCACCCAGACTTTTCTGACTTAAAACCCTTGGTTAGTTTAGTTCTACAATAATACGTGACTTTTAAAAACAGTCAAAAAGCAAAACACTGCATGTTTAGACAACCATGTGGAACAAAGGTCCACCGTTGATATTAAAAATTATGACCTGAGTCCTTTAAAAAATGTTATATTTTATCCAATAGATTTCTTTAAGACCTTGAAATTCTAATATACTTTAAGAGTTTCGACTCAACATGGTTATTTTCTTCATAATCCAAATATTAGTATCATTAATAGTGCATAAATCTCAGACATCCAGAACAATACCTTCTCATGAGTTTAAGAAACCACAGTTTTCTCGTCGATATGGTTTTACCTTTTGCTACTTGTACAATTAAATTTAGCCGTGCCCTGTTCTAACATTAACTCTGTAGCCACAGTAAATTTACAAACATAATTAGACTCCTACACTCATCAGGTGAACCATGATTCTACTCAAGGTTAGAGTATATTTGTTTGAGCGCATACAGGCAACAACTCTAGTTTATTGACATTTAATTTTTTAGCATCAAGATAAAGTTACTTTTACAACTTTTATGGCAAAAAATAAAAATAAAAACTTTTTATAAACTTTATCCTTACAAGTTTATTAACATATTCCATAGAACATGAAAATATTCTATAATACTTATATATTTTCCTTCACATATATTCCTAATATCCCCAAGAGAAATTAGACTTTGAACATTTGCTAAGCTTTATATCAATAAACACAATAATGTTCCAGTAGCAAGGCAATCACAACAAGAGCTCAAATATATATTGATTCTGGTTTTTAAAATGAAGGTAAAGCACATCATTTAACTAGATCAAATTTGCCCACATTCCAATAATAAAAATTTTTAACAACTTTATTACATTATTTTTAATAAAGCCCATGGAATTCTCAGCTTCAAGGCTGTTGTCCAGAAAAACTTGAAAATACAGACTGGCTAACACAAACTTTCCAACCTGTGACAGCTGCTTTTTATAAATCTGTATATGCTAAATCTCACAGAGCTTACCGTCAATTTCTCCTCTAAATTCTCACTTAATACGCTTCCTTTTTCATGCTTTTCAAATTCCATGTTGAAAGAGAAAGAGAGAGAGAAACAGAAAAGGAGAGATTCGGATTCAGTGTAGAAGATGATTTGACGTGCTTACATGTTAGATATTGCAGGCCACTCCAAGTCGTGAAAGCCCAGGACACTATCAGGAAGCCCTGGCGATAATTTCTGGTTAGCTAGTGTTTCCATTTATAGATGTTCAAATCCTATAAACAGAGGACTGAAGAGAAGGCAGGCAGCTGGGCTTAGATAAAGATAAATGTCACCAGATATAAAAGCAAACTCTTCAACAGGAAAATATTCCAACAGGTTAGGTTCTCTGAACAAAGTAAGATGTGTCTGACAAACAGCCCTGGTCAAAGAATTCACTAATAGCCTTTGGAGTAGAATGAAACACACTCTAGAATTTAGACCTAATAAATCCGTTTTAAAAGGACTAATGTGATAGCCATATAGCAAATATGAATCAGCCAGTCTTATTCTTCCAAATTTCAATGTTTGTCCTGAGAGTCTAGGCATTTACGCATCAATATGTAGCTAAAAAAATTTTAGCTGTCAATTAAAGGGAGAGAGCAAAGGAAAACTAATTTCAACTATTAAAACAGGCAATACATATATTCAAAGGGTGTTGTCAATTTTGTTCCATAAGAATTTGGCAAATGATGTTTAGAAACACCATGAAATAAAAGTCGTGCTTTTTTTCACAGAAATTGAGTTTGTTCTGGCTTTCCTACTGGGAACAAAGTTCTAACATAAGAGACAAAATTAATTTTTCCAATGCAACAAATGTTTTCCAAATTCTTTAGAAATTGTCCCAGGTCTTAAAGAAAAATAGTTGTGTAGTTTGCTGGTAATTAACTTTCCCTGGTGTTCTTACAGCAGTCCAGATATGTGGATGCCAATAAAACGTTAAAATGGCTTTCAGAGTCAGCTAAGACGGATCTCTATGTTGGCTTAATTCCTCAACCTGTTTAAAATGTCCTTTTACTATGCACGTACGCATAACCAATGGACACAGACAATAGTGTGGGGAAGGCAGGAGGGGGGGTAAGAGCAGGGAGGAGGGAGTCAATGAGGGAAAAATGGGGGGGGGGTATTCAAATGTAATGCATTCAACAATAAAGATAAAAAAATAAATAATAATAAATAAAATGTCCTTTTAACACCTGTTTCTGACTCTAACTCAAAGTTTCTATCAGGTTTTTTTCTTTATTTCTTAGGAACATTTTAGGAAATACATTCTGAAGCTCTATCTTTAACGTGATTACAGCTGGCTCTTTGTGATCAGGCAGGGCTGCTCCAAGCCTGTTCTGCATCGTGATGGACAGGCTGAGGATTTCAGAAGGGAACACAGAGTAGGACCTGAGTCTAACTACTCCTACTCGAGCATAATAAATTCAAAAACCCTATATTAGACTCATGGGCAACAGGTGCTTTTCTCTTTGGCGCAACCCTGAATTCCAGAAAGGGAACCCTACATGCTCCCTGTGACCCTAACAAGTTTGCAAACTGAAGTCTTCTGGGTTTCTCAGATTGTAAGACTGGCATGTGTCAAAAGCAAGGCAGTCGATCAAATTTTACATGAATGGAACCTCCACAATATGTCTAGGAGGGAAAAGAGCACACTGTGGCTGCAAAGGGAAACTCAGTTCTAGCTAGTTTCATGCTCAAAGGTGGAATTCGGGATCCAATTAGAGGAGAGGAACGGTGGTCTGTAGAGCTGGTTGGAGAAGAGGAGAATAGTGGCGACAGGAGGGATGTGCCAGTGGAACCGGAAGGAAGAGGTTAAAGCTGCAATTCAACACACGTGTACTGAGTCCCGATAATGGGTGAAGATGATCCTGGGTGCAGGCAGATTTTTTTAAATAATAAAAGAGACAATGTCTACATTTCTCTCCTTAACAAACTCATAGTGCAGGCATAACTGGATGTGAGTAGGGTAGTAACACTCGTATACAGACACTTCCATAGCCCTCACCATGCACCAGGAACCGCTTGAAGCCTTTCAATATTTTATTTCAATTAATTCTCAAAACCACTCGGGACAGTAGATACTATTATTTTCTCCATTTATGGGATTAATTGTATTCCCCACGAAAAAACAATTTCATATGTTAAAGTCCTAACCCCCAATATCCCAGAATAAGACTATATTTGAATATAGAGTATTTCAACAGGTACTTAAGGTAAAGTCAGGTTGTTAAGGTGGGCCTTAATCCAATATGACTGGTGTCCTTGTAAGAGGAGATTAGGACAAAGACACACATGGAGGGAAGACATAGGGAGAAGATGGTCCTCTACAAGCCAAGGAGCGAGGACTTCAGAAAAAAGCGACCCTGACAACACCACAATCTTAGACTTCTAGCCTCTAGAATTGTGAGGAAATATATTTCAGCTGTTTAAGTCACCCAGTCTGTAGTATTGGTTACCACAGCTCTACCAAACTAATACACCCACTTTAGAGTTGAAAAAATAAGACACAGTTACACAACTAAGAGGTGCTACTTACCCCTGGCCCACGCTCCTAACCACTGTACACTTTAGTGTCTCTGAACAAGTAATGTCCTCACAGCATAAGAGAAAGAGGGGAGATAGCACCAGCCCTGAATGGTGAATACTACCGACGCCATTCATTTAGAGATATATGTTTAAATATATTTTAGATATGTTTTAAGAACAAGTTTCCTTGAGTAAAGCTGTGCCTATGCAGAAGTTCCAGTCAAGTCGGGGGCGTAGGTACATACTATATTCAGAACCTCCCACAAGCACGTGAGAATCACAAACTACAGAACAACCATTATTCAGAACTATCTGAAATCTAGCTGGCTAGAAGTCTTTTAACTAAGAATATAAAGAAGCCACATCAAGACTGATGAAATACAATAAAAATTAAGATAATAGCTCAGTATTCATACTGAGAAGTCCAGTAACTGATGTGAAAAATGTTATGACCCAAAATATTGATAAAATATCAGAAGGCAAAGAGTGAATATCTTAAGTGACAGAACAGACAATCTCCAAACTTCCAAAGACTCCCAAAAAACAAAGATTATTAGGAGAGTATAATTTGGAAACACTTCAAAAAAGATTATAATCATCAGCCCGGCTATTGTGGTTCAATGGTTGAGCATCGACCCATGCACCAAGAGGTCGCTGGTTTGATTCCTAGTCGGGGTACATGCCCAGGTTATGGGCCAAACCCCCAGTGGGGGCATACAAGAGGTGGCCAATTGATGTTCTCTCTCATGGATGTTTCTATGTCTCTCCCTTCCTTCCTCTTTCTCTAAAAATCAATAAAGAAAAATATGCTTTTTAAAAATTATGATCATCACTGTGGCAATTCTCCTTTTAATCATCATTATTCTTTTATGTGCACATGTAATACCAACCTGACCTTCTTCTCTCTATTCCCAATAGGTACCAGCAAATTGTTACATGTAAAAAGAAATGATGCTCAATGCACAAGCTAGCCCTCATCCACTTGCTGGGCAAACAGAAAAAACTGAGCTACACTGGTCCCCTTTCTGTTCATCAATCACAACAAACATGTTTCTTCCTCTGACTGCTGTGCTCTCTCCCCAGATAGTCGTGCGTCCCCTTTCTCATTCATCCAGCTCTTCCCCAGTGACCCCCTCTAAAGTAGCAAACCCTCTGTCCATTCCTTTGCCCTTGTCATCTTCATAGCACGTATCCCCTCTGGCATTTTATTATTTCACATGATGTTTCAAGGTTATCCATATCTATTTATTTGTAGTTTGTCTCTACTACTAGAGTATAAGCACCAGAGGGTGCTTTAGTCATCACTTTAGCCATCACAAAAAACAGAGTAAGCACTAAATAAATTCTTGTAAAGGAAACAGGGCAGGAGGGAGAAGGAGGAAAGAAAATGCAAAGTAGGAAAGAGGTAAGACAGGAGGACATTGTATCCAATAAACATGACTGAAGACGTTTTATATATTATTATTTTTAAGACTTTAGGTAGATAACAGAGAAATAAAAATGCATATTTATAAGACACAAATCATACTATAGATGAATAAAATATTGATTGTTCACTTATCTTACAAATAGAACTATTGAAGGAGAAATAAATAGACTTAGAAAGCAGGAAGAATTGGATTCATTTGCAGATTCTGCCACTTTCTAATTTGGTCACTTTGAGCAAATTAATTCTGAGTTTCATATCCCTTTCCCTTAAATAAAGGGATGATATCAACCTCTTAATGTTACTACAAAAATTAAATGTGGAAATGGTGCAAAGAACTTAATCTGGTGTCTGGCATCAGGCAGGTTCTTACTAAAAGTGGTTGCCATTATTTCCCTGGGCTATGTGAAGTTAACCCAGAAAAAAAGTCACCCCTAAATATACCATCCTAAGAAATGTAGCACAAAAATTAACAGAGAGAATGGGAAAATATATTTGACAATCATTTATCTGATAAGAGACTTGTACCCAGAATATATAAAGAATTCTTATAATTCAACAATAAAAATAACAAATAACCCAATTTAAAAATGAGCAAAGGATCTGAATAGACATTTCTCCAAAGAAGACTAATGACCAACAAGCTCAAGAAGAGATGTTCAACAAAATTGTGATCAAGGAACTCAAATCAAAACCACAACGAGAGAACTCCACACATACCAGGATGACTAAAGTCAAGAAACAGACAAGAACAAGCCTTGGCAAAAATGTGGATGAACTGGAACCCTCATACATTGTTGGTAAGATTGTTTGGTGGAACAGCCACTTTATAAAACAGTGTGACAGTTCCTCAGAATTTTATAGTTACCATATGATCCAGCAATTTCACACAAGAGAACTAAAAACATATATCCACCCAAAACCTGTATGCACATGTTCATGACAGCATTATTGATAATGGTCAAAACGTGGAAACAAAACATCTGTCAACACGGGAATGGTGAAACATATGTGATATATCTATACAGAGGCATATTATTCAGCAATAAAAAAGAATGAAGCATTGATACATACAACTAAATGGACGATCCTTGATCATGTGATAAGTGAAAGAAGCTGGTCATAAAAAGCCACATATTGTAAGATTCCTTTATT